AATAAAAAACTAGGCCTTCTACAGAAGTTAAAGTTCAAAATGGGTAGAAAAAACTTAACAAAATTGTATATTACATTCATCAGACCTATGCTTGAATACGCTTCGATCGTTTGGGATGGCTGCTCGAAATATGATGCAGAAAAACTTGAAAAAGTACAATTAACCGCCGCTAGAATCGTAACTGGACTTCCTATATTTGTGTCTAGAGATGCACTTTATTCTGAAACTGGGTGGGAAACTTTAAAACACAGACGATATATTGCTAAAATGACTACTTTGTACAAAATTCATACGGGACGAGCACCGGAATATTTGAAAGATATTGTCCCCAATAAGCGTGAACATGTATTTACTTATAATACCCGTAACAAACAAGATTTTATTGTTCCTAGGTGTAGATTAGAACTATTTAGAAACTCATTCGTACCTGACGCTACAAAACAATGGAATTTATTAAAAACAGATACGAGAGAAGCCGTTTCAGTCAAAACATTTAGAAAAAACTTGACAACAATAATTGATATTCCACCACCATACTTTTCTTTTGGCAAACGATATACAAATATCATTCATACCAAGTAATTAAGACATTACTGTATACTAAACCATGATCTATATAAACGAAATATTGTACGTAGTCCATTATGTTTAAGTGGAAAAAATGAAGATGTGTATCATTACTTTTTTGCATGCACAAATTATTCCAATGCTAGAAGTACTCTTTTTAATCATTTGTTCATGCTTGATTTGGTTTCTATTGATATTAATGTATTATTGTGTGGTGATGTTAATTTGCCTTTACAGATAAATAACAGTATTTTTGCTGCTGTTCATAAATTTATTGACGAAACATGTAGATTCTCCAAATGATGTATTACATTATATTGTATCTATTTATTCATGTATCGATTGTATTAATTTTTTTTCTTTTTGCATGACATATTGTATTATATAAGAAGAGGAATTCACTAAGTTATTTAGAACTTGTTTCCAATCCTTTTGATTGATATAAATAAACTACGTTCAAAACAACAAATCAAAGATTTACAAATAACAATTAAGGAGGCTGGCGAGTCAACAAATTAACCACAAATTGACCACCAGATTTACCTTATTTTTTTAGATGTGATATCTTAAGCCGTCAACTATCATTTGGCAAAGAAAATTTTTTTAAAAATTTAGTTTCAAAATTTTACGATCTTCTATATCTTCATATGGAAGTCTTCTTCTAAAGGTGATCAATATAGTCAAAAAATGGCCACAACCCCCAGCCTCTTTAATTAAAAAATAAGACAAAAACACATCGCTTGCAACAATTTTAATTCATTTATACTTACATGTATCTACAATAAATGTACATATATTTAACTTTTTACAGGAAACATTGAATTTGGATAAAAAAAAAATAAACACCGAAGAAAAAAAAACATCAAAGAGAAAAACAAGACAAAACGTAAAAACACCGAAGATATAAAGAAAACACATTCAAGCATTGAGAAAAAAAAACATTAAGAGAAAAACACGGTGTGTGGTACATCGAGATGGGAATAGCCTTTAGAATCGCATAGACAGAAGTTGCCAAATTGGGGAGTTCTCAGGGATTTTTCTACCCTTTTTCCTGGGTGACCTGCAAACAAAAAAGGAGACCAAAATGTAAAAGGGTTGAAAAGACAACTTGAATTAGGCAAAAAATGTAATCAGTTTATTTGATAGGTTTATGACTACATGTGCTGTGCAATTAACACCACCATTATTTTTAAAATCATGTTTCATGTCACTTTGATTTATAAATATGTGCGCACTGACTTGATTAAATGTTTATAAATGTATAATAAATCTGTTACATGTAGCTGTAATAAAAACACAATATCAAAATAAATAATTAGAAATAATATGAGCAACTGGTATACAAAATACTAAAAAAAGCACTTGAATTAATTCATGCACAGAAGTTGTTATCCTGATCAACACGCCTGCCCACCTTAAACATCTTTGACATGTCTACCAAATCTGGTAGTCCTTCGCCCTATACATTTGTTAATTCAAATTTAATTTAAGAAAAGAAAAATACGAATACAGTAATATTAAATTAAAAAAAAAAGCACTCTAAACTACAACTGTAGATTCCTTAGTATAAAGAGGGTGTTCATTATTTTGTTATTAACACCATTCAAAAAGTGTAATTATATGACCAAATCTTTAATATGTGATAGATGCTGAAATTCAAAAAGTTAATAAATGTGAGAACACGGTAGTATTATTACATGTAATCGACACATGTTATTTTGGTTTAATTTATTTTAAATTTATATCAAGGAAATGAATTGATTGAGCTGTTGGTTATGATGTTCTCTCCAAAGGTCAAAGTATAAGATGAAAGGCATGTTTAAGTACATGTATTAGAAAGAAATCTACAATATGTCAACTTGTGAATCGTTCAAGAAGATTATGTGTAAATCATATAATATAAACAATAAGTTAGCCCTCCCTGTTTTTTTTAATTGACCCCCCTCCTCCGAAAAGAAAACAGAGAGCTATATAATTGCAGCTTATACATGCAACTGAGTTTAAATAAATGTTCATACAAAATTCGTCATTATGTTCTAATTCGTTTCACTCAAACGAACATAAATTATTTACAATCAAAACAAGAACACTTGTCTATATAGGTATGGAAGCGCTTGCTTGACAGTATTTATTAGACGTATACATTTACAAAACACAAGTCTTCAATGGTACCGATTCTCTACCTTTCTTCTACAATATATCAAAAATATGATTAATCACACATAACAGTACAAAATGCATTTTAACGCAATGCTTTTATATGTCCTCACTTCACCGATTAAAAACGTAATATAATGCATGTATGAACACAATTATGCTTCCCTCGCCGCCCAGGAAAAACCATAGATAAAAAACAACTTCGATTTATGCTGAAAAAACTATGGAAACCTGTAAGTCCGCAGCAATTGCGAGGTAAACAAAATGAATGGCGGACTCATTCTCACAAACTTACGTAAGTGTCATATATTATAATGTACAATTAATCGACTAGTTTAAGCAAAAAAAAACCTATGCAAAATAAATGTAAGTTAGAACTATCTGTAAACACATTTCGACTATATGTAGCTAATATGTACCATTACACAACAATCTTACATTTATATCAAATTTTACATAAAATTATCTAGAGCGACTAAGCAAATTGTTTCCCATCTTTGACAATCAATCTGTTGTGTACAAATCTTTTAATTTTCTTGTAAAGAAAACAATTACTTTCTTTATTAAACAAAATACAAGTAAAAGGGTGAAGTAAGTAAGAGGGTGGGTGGGTGGGTGTGAATGTCGCAAAGCAAAGCCTTCGAATAAGTTAAAAGCGTGATTAAAGTGAATACCTGTTCACCTGTTCTACAGGTATCGACCTTTAAATACTGACCAATAGCTACTGTCGCTTCTATTACATGTAGCACATAATAAACAAAAGCACGTGTTCCTAGTACATATGATAAATTAATTTATGTTCTAATTCGTTTCACTCAAACGAACATAAATTATTTACAATCAAAACAAGAACACTTGTCTATATAGGTATGGAAGCGCTTGCTTGCCAGTATTTCGAACATAAAGAAAGAGGGCTCTGGTTTTTCTACAAGCTCAAGAAGCAGTTAAAATTTAATGTTCATTTATATACGGAATCTTTGCTAAACATTTTTGTAAATGTTGATCTTTCTTGCATTTTTCTTGATCATACGTTTGTTTAACAAATTCTGGTGGAAACTTTATTTATTTATTTATTTTTTTTTTTTTAAGTAAAACTAGATATGCAATCTTAACCTTTATTTGTCCAAATAAATATAAAGCATTCAAAATGTTTATCCGATTCTTATGTTGAATTTATGTTTGGAACAATGATCCTTTTTAAACAACCTTTTGCAACAAAGCAACCATAGTTTTGACGCTGATACTGGAAATAAAAAACTAGATCGTACTCACTTTGTTCAGGTACGTTTTGCTTTTTCTATAAATGATAAAGAATAAGTATCATAAAATAACATCGAATCTCCAAACATTATTCGTTCAAGTAACACAAACATCCATCTAAGCTATCAAACATAAGAAACTAAACAAATCATATCTTAGTGTTTCATATTATTGATATGGATTTCACCATTAGCAAGATTGAACGCATACATGTATTTCTTTTATAAAAGTATAAGTCTTTAAGATTTCATTTTTCAGACATGACAGATGTTATTAGGTGTAAATCATCATAATATGCACTGTTAATACAGTTTTATTTTCCTTCAATTCACTTAATTTCCTATTAAAATTGACCGTTCAAAGATACAAACATCAGTATATTCTTTTAACTATATAGAACCATACAATTTATGTCTTATTCTTTTAGGATATAGATTTTGATTTTACCATTTGCCAGATTGAACGCAAACATGTATTTCTCCTATGCATTTATGAATTTTTAAATAAAAACGACATCTTTACATTCCAAGCAAAACAAATGACGATTGTTTATCTTATTATAAGTAATCATCATAATTTTCGCCGTAAAGCATTTTCCTTCAATTTGCTTGCCGAAAGTAAATAAGTTCTGAAAATCAATTAAAATTTGCAACAAGCCTTTTAGAATAAATACATGTATATCAATTTTGTATAGCATAGTATCGCTGTAAATAATTTGCTGGCTGCATCATTCTGTGCACCAGAAATCATCATAACACCACTGACAACATACTATTCGACCAGACCTTAACATGCTGCGACGTGCTACACACCAGGAAAATGTTTAGAACTCCACTGACTGCGTCAATACGCACCAGGACTTCCACTGGCTGCAACATGCTATGCACCAGGACTTCCACTGGCTGCAACATGCTATGCACCAGGACTTCCACTGGCTGCAACATGCTATGCCCCAGGACTTTTATAGGGTTGACAGATAATTGGTGTCACAAACGCATTCACTTTCAGTACGACAGCTCAGAAAGTTGGATGATGATCATTCCCACAGACACTTCAAACTTTCCTTGCACAATTTCTGAAAGAAAAGATGACCATTAAGATGCATCATTATTGATATCCATATAAATATATGACAAATAATAAACTAAAACTATACAAAACAATTGGTTTTTTCGACCTGGCAAATCAGTTTACCGTAGAATATAAATTCACTATCTTGCAATTTTTTGTTCAAATTAGGATTAATTCTGATAAATATAAAATTGTGAAAAGTTTATAGATGACAGACTTAGGCCTTAAAATGGTTCAGGTGAGCTAAAAAGAAAAGGTTAGAGCTCAAGCTCTATGCCTGACTGATACTGAAAAAGATGTGATTTTATTGACTTGAAAATAATTAAGAAATCTGACCTTTTGGGGTTTTTTTTTTCATACAGCTCTTGTCCTTGTGAGCATAGGGATTCCTGTAGAATGGATGGTTACTTCATAGTAGATGATTGCAGCATGTTTGATCTAAAATAATTATGCATGCCTGTGCAGTTAGCACGTTTAGATTACCTGTCAGAATTCATTGTTTTAAATTATTAGAATAAGGAATTTAAGCGTGTTAAGAATATAAACCTTTAAATTTTGTTTACATGGCAAACTTGCAATATTTTTTTTTAATCTTATGCTAATAGACATGGATTAATAAAATCAAAGTTAGTTTACTTGGTTTGAATGATTATTTGAGCTAGTTCTCACCATATTCACAAGCCTAGTGAATGATTTGCTAAGCATCTGCATCCACCAAGTTATAAAACGCCATCTCAGGCACTATGCAGCAACTATAAAATAATTAAAATAAGAGCTGAAAATGATCATGAACATGCATTAAAAATACATGTATATAATCTATTACATTGTACATCATACTCTGTAAATATTATCTTAATGCTTTACATCAGTTCGATCCCAAACGAGGAAATTCGAGTTTAAATCCATGATCTTAAATTATTAAAAGTTGAAATAGTGAACTAACAATTTCACCGTCGGGCAGTTTATGTGTGGTGACCGTGTCCAGACTAATGAACAGTAGCAGAAGCGTTCTTCATTCAAGGACACATAAAATACTGTACAATATTGTACCTACCGGGTCTTAAAATGTCTTCATCTTCTTCCATCCCAAGCTAAACATGATTCCCCTGTTCTAGACGTGCACCCTCTTTCCAACTTTCCTTCTGTGCAACATCAACATGGCATTCGATATTTTTGAATTTCGGCGTGTTGTTTAAATTAATTGTTCATCGAGCCCGACTTCGAGCCCGATGTTATTGTACTATTATTCGACAGTTAAAAAAATCTAAGTAATTTTCCACAGTTTTCCAGCGCAGAAAATGGCTAAGTTTCTCATTTTATCCTTTTTTTCCAAAGAATTCCACTACTTTCCAAACCAAAAAATGTCTAAGTCCAATTTTTTTTTCAAATTCCAAAATATTCCAAAAACTTCCAGACACACTTTTCAAGTTTGGTATAGAAATGATTGGAATTCCATGGAATTCCAAAACTTTTCCAAACCCTTTGGAAAATCTACATTAGGGAGGTCTACAGGTCTAGAGCGTGAAAGTAGACTAGAGGTAATGTACATTTTTTAAAAAAACGGAGCATTCCAATCCTTTATTGTACAAACAATTCATAAATCAAACACTTGACCTAGGCCTAGTGAAATTAAGACCGAAGTCAGCTTGAGTGAAACTGGAAGGCTGACGAAAATTTTTAATTCCTGGTTCAAGTAAGTATCTAGTTAATTGGTACATGGTGCAATTCGTAATTTAACAATCAGCTGCATGCACATTCGCAATAACCACGTGAATAGATTGTCACTTGGTGTAAATAACCACAAATCTACCCCTCACTGCCCCATCCGTCCCATTCCCAACCTACGGCCATACATTTTCCTAAAATTGAAAATCATGAAAATACATGGATCTATGTATGTAGATTGAACCTATGAAATGGAAGAAAAACTTACATTCAATTTTCTTCGCCTTTCCCATGCCTGCTGGGGGAAAGCATCCTCCCAGCAAAGAAAACTTAATGACCCTCGGTCGAAAACGTTCTCCATCTTGGTGTATAAATCACCATGCAGGCTAGTAACCGCTGTAACTAGGGAACTGTAAAATCTGAAAATTCCCGCTCAGAACACTTTGTTTCCGGAAGTTAGGAAGATTGAGAATTTAAAAAATACAAAACACAAAATATACAAACATGTCAAAGTAATTAACAACATAATAAATAAAACATAAATTGAATTTATGAAAACATTTAACGTACAGTTATTTTATTATTATTTTTTAAAAATATTTATTAAAAGTTTAAACACAAAAGTCCTAGATTTCCATACGGATCCAGAAGTTTACTAGAGGATGGGAGTTGAGAATAATTTTTTTTTTGGTCGGCACCCCCTCCCTTTGAAAATTTAAGCGTACATTGTATATTAGATATTTTAATAGATTCCAAAGTATCTTTAACAAATGGGATAAACCCATGACAATGGTTTAATTTGGGTACACTGTATATTCATGTTTTTTTTTTCTGAATTGAATGTAAGTTACATTATTTTCTCTGGCATTTTTGAAAAGGACCGATATATAAACTATACTGAAAATATTTTTTTCTTACATTTACATTTATTATAAACTATTAAAACATTTATAAATACCGGTAGATGTTTTACATTATTTGAAAAAAAAATGAATGTGTAAACTTATGTGTACGTTACATTAGAGTCTTTCGAACGATTCAGTTACAATGTATGTGGAAAAAAATCAAATAAATCTCAGAATGTATTTATATTACTTGCTTAGATTTTAACGTCTACCCGCTCTCTTTCTCTTTTTAACCCCTCCCTTTTTCTTGAAATTTTTTCTTTAATTCCATTTTCTATATAAAAAAAAGATATATAGGGTTGATTTCAACCATTACCCCCCCCCCCCCCCCCCCCCCCGGTTTATTGAATCTGCTTTTCCTGATTTTATTTTCGGAAATCTGTTTTAAACAAATGAAAAAAAGCAGACATTTTTTAATATAGGCCTAACAGCCTTGACATCAAATATGCATGACAGTCACAGTCATTTGACGGCATCTTTGACTGACTTCCACGCAAACAAAGAACTATAACTCCAACATACTTCTTCTTACACACAAAGCACACTCTGACACTCGATTCGAGTTTTAAAATTCCCTTCAACAGATTGTTCTATCTTCACACCAGTCAGGGATCGACAAATCATATATTCGCAATATACGATCAAGAAAAGATTTATTTCCTGGGGGGAGGTGGGGGGGGGGGGGGGGTTAGTCAAGAACAGCTTCTTTATTTTGTTTTTTCCAGTCAAGGCCTTATTACTCCAGTATTTATTTTCAATTTTTTCAAGGAAAGATTATTTACGCTGGGAAGATCTCAACCTTGGACTGCACCTTAAAATTAGAGGGAGAAAAAATTCATATCCATGCAGTCATGTTAAACACAAGTAAATTAATTCTAAAAATACCTAATTGGATTGAGGACGGGACATTTAAAGAGAGTCCGGTGGAGGAGGGGGGAGGGCATAGAGAGTAAGGGTGCATAATTTCTTGAGATATCGCTCGGAATTGATTTAAAGTATGGTACACAAACACAATGTATAAATTTATGAACTTGATCTTTGACCTTTTGGCCTCAAAATCAATAGGGGTCATCCTGGGTGTAACCAGTCAGAAAAAACAACAACAACAACATAATTAATGAATTGTGGCCACTGGATATCCTTATTTGAAACAGCTAACAAACGGCAATAACATTTGTGTCTAGGAAATATATAAGATAAACCCCTGATATATTTTTCACACTAAAAATATAATGTCAAATGGATAGAAAATAAAAAAAAATACCATTATAAGTTATACCAAAAAAAAAAAAAAAAAGGATTACAGAAACAAATACCTTGTATATGGATTGCACGGCCACACGGTATTGTGACCTACAGAGGATCACTCGATAGGTAAAAAAATTGTACAAAAATTTTCATTACATTTTCAGGACATACGCAAGGTACCTTACTTATTGATAATTTTTCAAGATATTTTAAATTTAAACAAATGATACCATCACATGTTCTTAGGCAAAAAAATCAGCATGTGTTACCAGGGCTTTTGAAAAGATATTAAAGTTTGAAAATTTTGCATTATTCAAAGAAAACTGTACAAAAATTACAAAACACAAATTTCACGGGTTTTTTTCATCAAAAATATTTTGGAAAGTGTGTACAAATCCATATATAGACTTTAAAAATATTGCACACAAATCCTTCATTTAGTGGAACTCTTCAACTCCAGGGAAGAACCCAATAAAGTATGAAACTACGTTGCGTATGACCTTAACGAGGCCGAGTCTAATTATTTCTGCCCTAGGGATTTTGATAATTTTTTTATAATTAATTTTTACTGTTATATTTATTATTTTAGGATTAAAAAATCGAATGTTTACCAGCCAGATTTCTTAGGGAGCCATCTTAAAAGTTGTAAAATTTTACTATTGGACCCTATGGGAATTTGTTGGAAAATCGCCAAATTATCACATTTTTCCCAGATTTTATGTATTTCTGCCCTAGGGATTTCTTTTTCATTCAAGTAGTTGAAAGTTAATGTAAAAAGTCACCAAATTGTGAAATTTCAAAAAAGTTCACCATCTAGGTTGGTCTAGGTAGTAATTACTACGTTTATTTTTTCGAAGTTCAATACCGCTAAAATTGCCATATTACGGTATAAATACATATCTTTGCATCTGACATTCTGTGAATCTTTTACTCATTTTACTTAATGTCAACACCTGTCATTTACTTGTTCTTCATTATATACATTTTAATGAATTATCATGTATTATTTCTTCAGTCTGGACTTAACGAAGGCCAGTCTAATTCACGTCCAACTCGTCAGGAGTCCGGAGACCACCTCGACCAATCCGACTCGTCAGGACTCTGAATCCGCAGGCCACCTTTACCAATCCGACTCTTCAGGACTCTGAATCCGGAGACCACCTCGACCAATCCGATTCGTCAGGACTTTGTATCCGGAGACCACCTCGACCAATCCGATTCGCCAGGACTCTGACTCCGAAGACCACCTCGACCAGCAATCCGATTCGCCAGGACTCTGACTCCGGAGACCACCTCGACCAATCCGACTCGTCAGGACTCTGAATCCGAAGACCACCTCGAACAATCCGACTCGTCAGGACTCTGAGTCCGGAGGCCACCTCGACCAATCCGATTCGTCAGGACTCTGAATCCGAAGACCAACTCGACCAATCCGACTCGTCAGGACTCTGAATCCGGAGACCACCTTGACCAATTCGATTCGTCAGGACTCTGAATCCGAAGACCAACTCGACCAATCCGACTCGTCAGGACTCTGAATCCGTAGACCACCTCGACAAATTCCATTCATGCGAACTCTGGATCCTGAGACCACCTCGACCAATCCGACCCGTCAGGACTCTGAATCCGCAGACCACCTCGGCCAATCCGACTCGTCAGGACTCTGAATCCGGAGACCACCTCGACCAATCCAACTCGTCAGGACTCTGAGTCCGGAGGCCACCTCGGCCAATCCGACTCGTCAGGACTCTGAATCCGGAGGCCATCTCGACCAGTCAGAATTAATCACATTTAACTTTTCTGTTGGTTGATCATTTGTTCTTTCTCTTGAAATATTTACATTTGCAAATGTTTTCCTTTATATAACACTATTGAAAGCAATGCGTATCTATAACTGTATAAATACATG